GTTGTTGCTGTTCCTGGAGAAGTTGAGATGCTGGCACCACCCCTCATTATATGTTCCACTGTAAGGATCAAGGTGCCGAGCATTGGCGATGAAGTCCAACTGCTCCTGGGGTGTAGAAGACTCCCGCATAGCCAGGAAGTCTTCCACCAAATGATTCGAGCTCTCACACCACTAGCAGTGTGCAACCGAATGGCCAGCCAATCTCTGCACGGGATGAGACTGTTGGACTGCTTTAATGTCTGGACCAGCTAGGCCACCTCCCGCTCTAGCCTGGATCTAGCTTCCATAGAGTGCACACCTCGATCCTGGGAGTTCCTGCCTCTAGTGCGCTGCCCCCAAGAATGATCTAGCAGCCAAAGTACTAATCATCTGATTTAGCTCGGGTGGAGTCTTGGTGAGAATGTCCCCTCCCGGGCATAGAGACTCGATCATCCTCTGGCTCTCTAGAGATAGAGCATTGTAGAAGTTCCCCACTGTGAATGCATCACTAAAGGCGTGATGGGGACACTGCCAGAAAAAATCCCGAGTATCGTTCCCAGGCATCACGTAGTGACTCATCTGGCTCCTGGAGGAAATGGGTGATCTCCCGCCGAATCTCCATGGTCTTCGAGGCAGGATAGTACCTGTGCACGAACTTGTCGGCCAGATCGTCCCATGACGTGATGGACAATGGTGGCTGGGTCTCTCTTTGCATGCCCCGCCAGAGAGTGGGGGAAGAGGTGAAGACGGATCACGTCATCTGGTACACCATTCAGCTTGAACTCATTGCTAAGCTGCAAGAAGCGGGAGAGGTGCACCCTCGCCCCTTCATCCTTGAGGACATGAAACTGGATGGAGGATGTGATCAGTTGAATCCAGCATGGCTTGATCTCGAAGTTATTTGCCGGAATGGGCGAATATAGGATGACGGGGCGGATGTCGGCGACCCATGGAGTGTAGTAGTACTCCATAGTAGAACCCAGCGGGGGAGGTGGATGCTGAGCCCCATCTGGCTGGCGAACTGGGTTATTGGCCAGAACCTGATTCACGGGGGAAACTACATGGGCATCCCCAGGGGTTGGTTCTGCCCCAGGTTCAGGTTCACGCTGTTGTGCTCGTCTCCCATTTCGTATTCTTCTTCACAATCCTGCTTAGATGGCCGTCGACGTGCACTTCCTAAGCTGTTGTCTCCTAAGCTGGTGACAAGTGCGTTATAGCTCTGAGTCTAACGGCAGTAAGTCTCTCGACTGGGTACGGGTCATACACTACCTGCACACAATCCAAGCAAGCAAACCCGTGAATGCACAGTGGGACAAAGCAAAACAATCAATGCGGAAAAGAAATGCTAAAGTAACAGAAATCACGTTTCTTCAACAACCTAGCTGTCCCCGGCAACGGCGCCAAAAACTTGACACGCTTGTACCGTCACACTAGAAAGTGGCCAAGTGTAACCACCTAATAATGCGTAGCGCGTTTAGGTTCAAATGTCAACCCGGGTTCTAGGTGTGATGACTATGCCATGAGATTCTTATTATTTGGCAGTTCAACTGTAGTGAAGTTCCAACTAAACTAGCAAACAAAATCAGTAAATGTTGTGTTCCAAGTTCGAGAGAGGTCACCCAGATATGGTTCCCCCTAGACTGCAGTTAAGCCAAGTTGTAATTTGCCAAGTTCAGATTCAATGATAATTATACTGCGGGAGGTTCTTAGACAGTCTGCAGTCTCGACTAAAGGTCTCCAGACCCTCTCAATCTGAGTCCCCAGCGGGCGACTAACCTCCACCGGTGTAAACAGACTGAGGCCCTAACATACAAACCTCCTCTACTAGAATAAATCCAGTACAGAATAGTGAATTGACTCCTCAACTAACGTCGTCAATTCACTACCTTCAATCAAGCGTGCTCTATCAACCTAGGCAGATATTCTCATTCTAGGTCAAAGCAGGAATAACATGAATTTGATCAGGATTCATGCAATTCAGAAAACCATGCCTCAATTGAATATAATAAATATCAAAGAACTTGTACTTGGGTTCATACAACCAGACCTAATACAAATCTAGGGTTCTTCATACCCAGGTGAGTGAGAGAGTTTACTCCATAGAGAGTGAAGAGAAATCTGCTTCAGATGCGGAAATCATTCTGTGAAGGATGAGGATATGCTTCTGGTAATCAATCAGTACTCCTGCAAGCTTCCACCGAGCTCCAATGGTGTTGAAGGTCGATTTAGGGCACTTGGAAGTTCTGTTCGTCACTTTCTCTCTTTAGGTTTTCTGCTCTCTAACTCTCAAAATCGGATTTCCCCTTCTCTTTGGCTTGAAATCTCCTTTTAATCCGAGATTGGGAAAAACACGGTCGAGGACACGACCGTGTTTTGCTTCTGCCCGCCCGTGTTTTGCTTCATGTGTGGCAAGCACGCCCGTGTCGATCCCAAAACACGGTCGTGCCCAAGAAGTGACACGACACGCCATCACGACACGCCCTCGGCAGTAAAAACACGGCCTGGGAAACACAACCGTGTTTTGGAAAGGGCTGCCCGTGTTTTTGCCCCAGCTTTACCGAACGACCTCCAAATGACCCGAAACTTGTGCCTATCCTTTCCTTTGACGCTTGGGACCTGAAATGTGACAAAATAACACAACCCAGCCTAAAGTAGGCCAAAGATACACGACTAGAAGCCCTAAATGGATAAGAAATAAGGGTGCAAACACGTGCAAATACATCGTTATCAGGCATATATCAAGTCTCCAAGCATTCAAAATCACACCAAACATTCACACGCATAACGGACTACCCCCCCCCCCCCCCACACACACACACACACTTAAGCTCGACATTGCCCTCAATGGTGTAAAATAAGGAAGTAGAACGATGTTAGCGGATAGTGGTGAATGTGGTCAGGAGCGGAGGGCGGGTTAGATCCGGAAGAGCAATGAGACGGTAAAGCACCACCAAAATCTCTCCATGGGTCGTCTTATTGAAAGGAAAAGAGATGCAAACCTTTGATGGTTGGGTTGCATCCCACCAAGCTCTTCTTTAAAGTCGTGAGTCGGACGATTGCTCTTCAAGTTTCGGTCCACCTAAGAACCTCTTTGAAGTTTAGGTTCTCGTCGGTGAGGTGACGTCTCAAGTTACGAGCATTGGACAAGTCCATGATTGAGGGCTCGTGAACTTGATCGACTTTGAGGCTCCACCCACGAGACCTCTCCTTCTTTCCTTCTACATCTTTCTCTTTGCCCACACCATGTAGTGAAAACTCTTTTGACTTCCATCGCATCCACCAAGGGGGATAGCCGATGGCTTGGCCTTGGCTTGGCAAAGATCCACAAACGGGTCCTTATCCAAAAGCGCATCAGGGTCTGGTGGAAAGCTTTCATAGCACTTCTAACTTGTAGATGCTTCATGATGAATTGATATATACACATGTTTTTGTCCACCATTCATGTCCCGTTTGAGTCTTATTTCTCGTGTTTTAGACCGATTTCACACTAGGTTGTTCTTGTTTGTGATATTTCAGGTCCTAGTACGTGAATGAAGGTTTGGGAATGAGTTCAGGGTCGATTGGGCGAAGATTGGACGTTTAGCGAGAAGCTGAGGAAGCCACACGGGCATGCCTAAAATCGCACACGGTCGTGTGACTTGGCCGTGCAGCACTTTGCACGGGCAAGCCACACTAGCCGTGTAGGGGACCCCTTGTGGGCGTGTGGAAATTCTAGGGAGCTCACATGGCCAGACTGGAAATCCACACGGCAGTGTGACTCTGGACGTGCAACGTGCCTGAAGTCCACTTATTGAAACGCCGCATTTTGACATCCACACGGGCAGACTGGAAGACCACACGGCCGTGTGGTCGGGGAATTCTGGGTTTTAACCCAATTTCGAGCCAAAAGTGAGGGTCGACATTTTGGAGCAAAAACAGAGCCCTAGAGAGAGAAAGTGCAAAGAAATCATCCTAGAGGTGATTTTGGAGCTGGGTTTCATCAATCGAGTTTGGAGAACATCATAGGAGTGAAGATCATCATCGCAGAGCAAATTTTCCTCATCTTTATGAGTATGACTTCTATGATTACTGTTTTCCCCTCTCTCTCTCTCTCTATGGAGTAGAACTTTCTCTCACTTGGGTATGAAGAACCCTAGTTCCATGTGTTAGGGATCTTGATTGTAATGACTTGGGATGGTTATACTGTTTGATTTTAATCGATTAATGCATGATTCATTGAGTCAATTGAAGTCTGATCATCTTTTCTTGATTTCTGATGCAACCTGAGATATATAGAATCTGATTAGGTTGTTAGAGCTTCATCAATCGGTAGTGGTAGATTGATTATACGAGAGTTAATCGATTTACTGCTTTGTACTGGAATCCAATTCCAGTAGTGGAGTTCTGTGTTCAGAACCTCAGCTTTCTATCCCGGTGAAGACTAGTCGTCTGCCGGGTAGTTGGACTGAGAGGGCTTGGTCAGCTTAAGGGATTCCAAACTACTATCGGATCTTCCATAGTTTAATCAACAGTTAATCAACCCAGGGTAATTACAACGGAGACCTAACTAAGGAGCTAGGGGGACTCATTCCCGAGTGACTCTCCCTTTGCTTTAGAAAACCGAACCATTCCCTGCTTTCTTACGACTTTTAGTTAAAACCACAATCACTTGACTTATTTTGCTAGATGATAGATAATCACGGAGTAGGCAGTAGATCTAGACCTCGGGTTGAAAAATAGAACTTGCCACTATTCTGCATTTCTGGACTGCGATTACACTTGGTCGCCGTTTGGTGTTGTGTTTTAGCGCGTCAAGTTTTTGGCGCCCTTGCCGGGGAACCTCTAGGTTATTGGGGAAATGTGAAAGTTTGTTACTCTAGCTTTTTCTTTACTGCATTTTCTCTCTTCCACCTATGTGCCTTCACGGGTTACTTTTGGTGATTATGTGCAGGTAGTGCATGACCCGTAGCCAGTCGGGAGATTTACTACCATTAGACCAAGAGCTTGAACGAACCTGTAGGAACTTCAAGCGGGCTCTAAAGGCGCGACTGGATGCGGAGGAGGCCTTAGCACAGCTGCAAATCACCGAGGAGGAAGAGATGGGTGACCCACAGGACCATGATGTGGTCCTTCTCTAGGAGCAAAGCATGAGGTATTACTGGACCGCCAGAGCCGCGGACATGAGGTCGCCCATTCAACACCCTCATGTTCCAGCGAATAACTTTGAGGTGAGCACCTCTGTAATCACCATGCTGCGCGGTTTGGTGGTATTCCGTGGCAAGGAGGGGGAGTGCCCCCGATCACACCTAAGGCGATTCCACGAGCTCATCAATGGGATCAAGATCAATGGGGTCCCAGCCGATGCAATCCAGTTGAGATACTTCCCATTTACTCTGGAGGGGCAGGCCAAGGAGTGGCTAGACACTCGACCTCCAGGCTCGATCACCACGTTCGCAAACCTGGCGGATAAGTTCCTCGCTCGCTACCATCCCCCGTCCAAGACGGCGGACCTGTAGAAGCAAATTAGCCACTTTGCTCAGGATGAAGATGAGACCATCCGGGATGCTTGGGAAAGATACACTAGTCTTTTCTTCAAGTGTCCAACCATGGTTTTACCGACACCTTCAAGGTGGGCACCTTCTACCATGCCCTCTTCTTGGAAGACAAGCAGCTGATTGACTCGGTTTGTGGCGGGAATATGCTAACCAAGGCATCGTCACAGTTGAATCAACTTTTTGAAGAGATGGCAAATCAGGGCTATGATTGGGGAACTGCGAGGAGATCGAGACGAGCACTAGGGCGAGGTGTGCATGTTGTAGCGACCCAGTCTTCTGACTTGGTGCAGGTTGTGTCTAAACTGGTATCAGCCATCGATCAGAATGAGATGGTTCTGGGGACAGGGCAACAGCCGGCAATGCGTTGCCAGTGGTGCGAGAGCGCCCATCATACTGTAGAGGACTGCCAGGCCATGCGTGAGTCCAGTACACCCCAGGAGCAGGTGAACTTCATCAACAATGTCCGGCGCAACGACCCATATAGTAACACTTACAATGAGGGATAGCGCCAACATCCAAATTTCTCCTGGAGTGGCAACAGCAATCCGAAGCCACCTGGCTTCCAAGCTCCTGCAGCTAGTTTTTTGAACCAGAGGCAGCCATACCAGGCTCGCCCAGGCCAGATGAAGCAACATCAACCACTTTATCTGCCCAGACAGGGGCATGCTTTTCAACAGCCCCCACAGCAACAGTACCCGCAGCCTGGTACATCTCAATCAGTCCCAGCACTGGGCGATCCCGTGTCAGAACTGAGGGATCTAGTGACTACCTTGGCCAACACTAGTACCCAAAAGTTCAATAAATTGGAGCAATTCATGGAAGTGGCTGCATGCAAATTCATGGAGATTGAAGCTGGCTAGAGAAACCAGCAGGCACTCCTACAGGATATGGACTCCAAGATCGGGCAATTGGCAGATGCCCTTGCTTCTAGACCGGCTGGCACACTTCCTAGCCAACCCCTGTCGAATCCCAGAAATCAAAAGGAGGGGTTGCACGCCATTATGCTGAGAAGTGGGACTGTGACTGCGGATGCACCGCAGAAGAGTGCCAAGAAGGTGACCCAGATCACCCCAGAGCCGGAAGAAGACCTGGTGATGGAAAAGGAGCCAGAGGATCAAGCTCCAAATCCACAACCAGTAGTGGCTGAATATAAGCCTAATCTCCCTTCTCCCACCAGGATTTACAAAGACAGGCTAGAGGCAGAGTTCGGCAACTTCTCGTCCATGCTTAGGAAGCTGCATGTTCAAGTGCCCTTCATGGAGGCACTATCTCTAATGCTAAGTACGCGAAGTTCCTGAAGGAGCTTCCCTCGAAGAAGCGGAGGCTGAGCGAGCTGGCCACTGTGGAGCTCAGCGAGGAGTGCTCGGCCATTCTGCAGAACAAGATTCCGCAGAAGCAAAAGGACCCATGTAGTTTCACTATCCCGTGCTCTATAGGTAAATTGAATGTAGAGAGGTCATTGGCGGATCTAGGTGCTAGTATTAATGTGATACCGTATAAATTGTTCAAGAAACTAGGCCTAAGTGAACCTAGTGCAACTAGGATGAGTATTCAATTAGCTGACTGATCCATAGTTCATCCTAGGGGCATAGTGGAAGACCTTCTGGCAAAGGTTGGCAAATTCTTTTATCCTGTGGATTTTGTTGTCTTGGACATCAATGAAGATACAGAAGTGCCCCTTCTACTAGGAAGGCCTTTCCTGGCCACCGCCAAGGCTCTCATAGATGTACATGATGGAACCTTAGTCTTGAGGGATGGCGAGGAGCGAATAACATTTTCCATTGCTAATACTCTCCCTGCTTCATTGCCTATGCATGCTGTTTCTGACCAGGAGCACGAGTCTGTCGTGTATCCTTCTTTGCTTCCCATTTTGCAGGATTCCCCTCCCATATTTTCGCCACCACTCCCGTCCACTCCGTTACCAAAAGACAAGATCAAGGAGGAGTGGCGGCTGAAACTGCAAGTAGCTAAGCCTGCTGAAAAGGAAGCAGGAGACCACTACGAGCTGGTCCCGGCTCCTGAGCCTCGACCTCCTTGACATCCGAGTATTCACTCGCTTGCATCCTGCCGGATGGCCAGGTCGAGTTGAAGAGTGCTGGTGGTCACACTCGTTGAGTGCATGGCCATCACCTGAAGTTGTACCTCAAGAGCGAGGTGGATCCTCTCTTGAAGGCACCTGTTCCTACATCTCTCTAAGCATCCACCCTACTGGCGTCCAGCTACCCGACGATTAAAGAAGCGCTTGTGGGGAGGCAACCCCACCAAGGTTTATTTTTCTTTCGTTTGTTTTTTGGTTTGTCCACTTGGAACTATGGTTTTTATCACCCAGTGTGTTTTGATGACTCTAGCCCGGCTGACTGGTCCCATTTCCAGTCCCCCGACAGTCCGTATTCCTGGTAACATCGTTTCCCCTTTTCTTTCCCTCTGCTCCATTGAGGGCAATGTCGTTCTTATGTGTGTGTGTGTGTGGGGGGGGGGGTGTTTATCTGTCGTTGACTGCTAGATGAGTTTGTGTGCTTGGAGCCTAGTCCGCTGTCCAAATCTCGAGATTTGAGGGCTCCAAGTACTGATGTTTGCATGATCATATTGGCACTGTGGATTTGATTGGTGAATCGAATGGCTTTTGAATTATTGCATGATAGCATGATTGTAACTAGGACAACCTATGATGATGACTGAGACGTGCAGTATAATTGTGTAGGGGTTCAAAATCTTTCAACTGTTTGCTTACCAACTGTGACTTGGATTGATCACTTGCTCTTGACAGTCGTTTATGCATCTAGTTCAGGGAATCAGAATGAGAGATAGAGCGTATAGGTAGCCATGTGAGATTTGAGCCTGCTCGTTTCTTCCTTGTGCGATAGTTCCCTCTTCCATGATGTGTAGCATTCACGTTGTCATTAGCTAAGATGATAGAGGCATAGGATTAGCCCACGCCATTGACTGTCCTGATGTGTCATACCCCCTAGTCAGCCCTTTGAGCCGTGTGTTATCCTTTCTTTCGGTCTACAATGGAAAATCACCCTTTTGCATCTCTTAGAAGGTTCCACAGAGTGGTTTTTACATGTTCTCTGTTGTTTCTGCTAAATATAATGTGAGGGTTGGAGGTAGTTCTTAAAAAGTTGGGCATGTGTTTGAAAAATGTGCATAGGTGGGGTTCTCTCAAGAAATGAAAAAAAAAGAAAAAAAAAAGATGAATGAAAGCAAAAGAGAGCCACCACCAAAAATCTGAATAGTGTTTCTTAGCAGTCTGGTTTGGAAATACTAACATTTATGTGACCTCCTTCGCTCTTGTGCTCTAGAGAATGTGAGTAATGCAGAATGGCAGAAAGAAAGTAATTGGTTTGATTGACTGTGATTGTGTTGAATTCGGAAATGTGGAACCTTGTGCTATGAATACTTCCACCACCTAAAATGCATTTTCCCCATGTCCAAGACCCTAGCCAATCACTTGAACCTGTGTCTAAGACCTCCAGATTAGTTAGTGGTGACATCCCTTGTGTGAGCTCTAACATTTAGAGATTGCAATAATGGTGAAGAGATGTTAGGATTTGAGAGAATAAGCATGCGCATTTTTCGCATAAAATTGTCCTGACCCCACTGGTCGAGAGTGAGTAATTCATTTTCTCATATTCTCTATACTCTTTACCCCGGTGAGGACCTAGATTGCTCGGTTGCAATTCTGATATCTTGAGTTTTGTGCATGAGGTGACTGTCTTGGTCAAGTGGTTGAGTCAAGTCTATGTTGGTTGGTGAACAGAAAGGATTCCTCTTCCTTTACCCGATTTTGCTGCACTCGAATGTCCTCTGTGGTGGTTGTCTAGGTTGCTGTTGAGTTGTCCATTTCGTAATGATCAAAAGCCAGTATGATTCACGTGTTCTGTGCCTATGTGATTTGTCCCCAATGTTGGTATGATTGAAATATGTGAGCTTACCTTATATCTGACTTGGTTTGCTTGGGACAAGCAAACAGTTAAGTGTGGGGGAATTTGATGACTTGATATATACACATGTTTTTTGTCCACCATTCTTGTACCGTTTGAGTCTTATTTCTCGTGTTTTAGGCCGATTTCACGCTAGGTTGTTCTTATTTGTGATATTTCAAGTCCTAGTACGTGAATGAAGGTTTGGGAACGAGTTCGGGTTAGATTGAGCGAAGATTGGACGTTTGGCGAGAAGCTGAGGAAGCCACACGGGCACGCCTAAAATCCCACACGGCCGTGTGACTTGGCCGTTGGCACCACTATGCACGGGCAAGCCACACTGGCCGTGTAGGGGACCCCTTGTGGCCGTGTGGAAAGTCCAGAGAGCTCACACGGCCAGACTGGAAATCCACACGACCGTGTGACTCTGGCCGTGCAGCGTGCCTGTAGTCCACTTATTGAAACGCCGCGTTTTGACATCCACACGGGCAGACTGGGAGACCACACGGCCGTGTGGCCTGGCCGTGTGGCCTGGCCGTGTGGTCAGGGAATTCTGAGTTTTAACCCAATTTCAAGCCAAAAGTGAGGGAATCGACATTTTGGAGCAAAAACAGAGCCCTAGAGAGAGAAGGTGCGAAGAACACATCCTAGAGGTGATTTTGGAGCTGGGTTTCATCAATCGAGTTTGGAGATCATCATAAGAGTGAAGATCATCATCCCAGAGCAGATTTTCCTCATCTTTATGAGTATGACTACTCTGATTACTGTTTTCCTCTCTCTCTCTATGAAGTAGAATTTTCTCTTACTTGGGTATGAAGAACCCTAGTTCCATGTGTTAGGGATCTTGATTGTAATGACTTGGGATTGTTATACTATTTGATTTTAATTGATTGATGCATGATTCATTGAGTCAATTGAAGTCTGATCATCTTTTCTTGATTTCTACTGCAACATGAGATAGATAGAATATGATTAGGTTGTTAGAGCTTCATCAATTAGGTTGTTAGAGATTCCAAGCTACTGTCGGATCTTCCGCAGTTTAATCAACAGTTAATCAACCCAGGGTAATTACAACTGAGACTTAACTAAGGATCTAGGGGGACTCATTCCCGAGTGACTCTCCCTTTGCTTTAGAAAACCGAACCATTTCCTTCTTTCTTACTGCTTTTAGTGAAAACCACAATCACTCGACTTAGTTTGCTAGATAATAGATAATCACGGAGTAGGCAGTAGATCTAGACCCCGGGTTGATAAATAGAACTTGCCA